TGGGTTTTACCAGGAGAGGTTTTAATGAGGCAACATCCAAAGCATGAAATGAACTTTGACCGGATATATCAACCAAGGGGGAGTGTTAAGAAATGAAGATGGTGGTTGGGACATATCCGGAAATGGACCAGACCACATCAGTACCATACCAGGCGGCCAAGCATCAGTCACTATCCTCCCTTGTATTTATCCATATGTTCTAGTTATCCTAATCATTATAGGATTAGGATAATCATCCCCTTTATTGTTGTAATCCTTATCTCCTAAGGAATATGCTTATTCTCTTGTATGTATATATATGTATGTGCACGTGATGAATAAGATATACATGTTACAACCTTTTATTTCACAACAAAATTATAATAATTAGGTTAAAGGATGGCAAAATTCAAAGGTGAAGTGCAGGACCTAAACTATAAATGGCCCATTGCCTCCTGGTGACCCGATTCTTCCGTCAAAACAGAGCGTGAAACCGTATTTTTCTGTCAAGACCCAAAAATAGGTGGAGACGTGTCATTACAGGCTGAGATATTGGCCTCAGTAACAAAACTAACGGCTTAGATCCGTTCATGGTCAAACGATATAAAGGGCCAAGTTCCTTCAGCTTTACAGAAATTTTGAAATCCCCATTTCAAAGTCGCCCGTTTCACAGAGCCTCTTTCTCTTCTTCTTTGTCTACGTATATTCATCAGGTAAATGTTTTTGCTTGTGAAAAATATGCTTTTTGTGAGAGAATAATCGAAAATTCTTGTCTTGGATCATTTATATCCATGCTTTTAGTGTTGATATGATCGTCAATACGGGTCGTAGATTGTTTTTTTCAGTAATCATCATGCAGTGTGTTGATTTTTTAGAGATTATTGACGAGTATTTTTGGTATCTTTCTTGTTCTGCATCTCAAGAATTTAAAATAACAATGAACGTAACTGGTCATAGTTATCGTCTGTTGATCTACGCTAATGTGTTTGATTTTTGAATATTGTTGGTTATGCGAATGTGGCTTTAACCATTGGTGTGTTTTTTCTATATATCTGAATCCTTTGTCTTGGATCCGTGAGATGTTTAATACTTTCATGCTTTTAATATATAATTGTTTTGTCTCTTCTGTTCATGTGATCATGGCTAGATATACTAAAAAATGGCGGATGGTGAAGATATTCAGCCACTCGTTTGCGACAACGGGACCGGAATGGTCAAGGTAATAAAAAAAAAAAATCATAGCTTTACTATATTCCATAAAGTTGAGAGTAAATCAACTTTCAACTTTCCTATAGGCCGGTTTTGCAGGTGATGATGCACCAAGAGCTGTATTCCCAAGTATCGTTGGCCGTCCACGTCACACAGGAGTGATGGTTGGAATGGGACAAAAGGATGCTTACGTTGGAGACGAGGCTCAGTCCAAACGTGGTATCTTGACTCTCAAATATCCAATCGAGCATGGTATTGTCAACAACTGGGATGACATGGAGAAGATTTGGCATCACACTTTCTACAATGAGCTCCGTGTCGCTCCTGAAGAACACCCGGTTCTGCTAACCGAAGCCCCGCTTAACCCGAAGGCAAATCGTGAGAAGATGACTCAGATCATGTTTGAAACGTTCAACGCTCCTGCTATGTACGTTGCCATTCAAGCTGTTCTGTCCCTCTATGCCAGTGGTCGTACTACTGGTTAGTACACTCATAAGCAATAACCTTTTTGTTTCTTTCTTGAACATGACTCTGCCTAAGTTGTTTTTCTTACAATACAACACAAGTTATATCATGAGATGACCATGAGTTCGGTTTGGTTTATCTACATAAAAATTGTTATAATTTGATTTTAAATAATGCTCGACTTGGTTCAGTTTGTTTTTTCCGTCTCTAGGACCGGTCATGGGCCAAGTCCGGATTAAACATTCGTTTATATCCCTAAACTGCTTGAAAATTTTATATTGATATTGATCTCCAAATTTGTAGAAAATGCCCCCAAATCTATTTTTTTTAAAATAATGGTCGATTTGGTTCGGTTTATTGAGGACAGAAATATTTTTATAATTTGATTTTTAAATAATGTTTGATTTGGTTCGGTTTGTTTTTTCTGCCGCTAGCTATAATTTTTCTCTATTGATTGCTCTTCTTTTGCATTTTCTTTTGGCTAGGTATTGTTTTGGACTCTGGAGATGGTGTGAGCCACACGGTTCCAATCTACGAGGGTTATGCTCTACCACACGCAATCCTGCGTCTGGACCTTGCAGGTCGTGATCTGACTGACTACCTCATGAAAATCCTAACAGAGCGTGGTTACTCCTTCACCACAACTGCTGAGCGTGAAATCGTTAGAGACATGAAGGAGAAGCTCTCTTACATTGCCTTGGACTACGAGCAAGAGCTCGAGACTTCCAACACCAGCTCCTCGGTCGAGAAGAGCTTTGAGCTTCCAGACGGTCAAGTGATCACCATCGGTGCAGAGCGTTTCCGCTGCCCTGAAGTTCTGTTCCAGCCATCGATGATAGGGATGGAAAATCCTGGAATCCATGAGACTACTTACAATTCGATTATGAAATGTGATGTGGATATCAGGAAGGATCTTTATGGTAACATTGTGCTTAGTGGTGGAACCACAATGTTTGGTGGGATTGGTGATAGGATGAGTAAAGAGATTACTGCTTTGGCTCCGAGTAGTATGAAGATCAAAGTGGTGGCTCCACCTGAAAGGAAGTACAGTGTCTGGATTGGTGGCTCTATCTTGGCTTCCCTCAGCACTTTCCAGCAGGTAATTTACATACAAAGTTTACTATTAGTGTTTATGTGTATAATGTATGATAAATTGTTAAATATGTTTCAAATTTGCAGATGTGGATTGCAAAAGCTGAGTATGATGAATCTGGACCGTCCATTGTCCACAGAAAGTGCTTCTGATCACAGTCACCAAGTGATACAAGTGCAGTAAAAAAGTTGATATTATTTTTCACGCTGAAGCCAGTTACTATCATTCCTTACCTCTGTGTTTTTGTTATTCTTTTTCCTCATTGTTGTTACTCTATATAATCTTGTTTTTGAAGTAAATAAAGTCAAAAACAAATCATTATTCTGAATGAATGTTTGTTAATTATTTTGTATAAATATTGGTATACATCACATTATCATTTTCTCAGTTTTCTCTCTGTCTTTCTGCTGTGTTACCGACCACAACTTCATTTTAAGTATATTCAGTTTGTGTTCTCATCAAGTAATGAGATGTTATGCTTACTTTCGCCATCCCTAAATGGATGGTTCTCATATTATTCTGACCCTTCCTTATATCACAACCCAAAAGTGGGCTTATCTCTGCGTTCTCATCATCTTCAGGACCTATATTCTCTTTCATACTACTCCCAGATTCCTCGTTTGAGTCAGTCATTAACGTCTGAGAGAAGTGGCCAGTTTCATTAAAAGGTAGCATTGTGTTGATCTCTTTACTATCCCCAATGTACTTGGTGAAGTTGTAATTGCATCTCTTATAGACTAAGAATGCATTCTCTGACGTACAATGAGATAGAGACTTGCGGTTGAATCTACTGAACCTCATATTTTCAATGTGGCACATTTTAGAAGTTTCATTTTATATTTTATATGCAATCCACTTTAGAACTTCATTTTTCATTCAAACGAACCCGGCTTTTGACATACTATTCTACTAAGACACTATCTCCTGCTCACACCAAGGAATCCAATGTCTCCAAGATCTTTTCATTCCGAGAATCTAGTTACCTGGAAAAGCCATTGGTATATTTGCCAAAGCCTTATCCAAACAAGTCTAACAGTAATTAGACGAATTGTATGAACGCTTTGTTTGTGCTTGATTTACATGATAATTAGTTTTGTATCTAACGTGGGCAATGATCAAACGGTTTATTAATAAAGATTACTGTAATCAAATGTATATGAAAACAAATTAAAGACACAAACCTATGTCTATGCGGTAAATCAGTAGAAGACTACGATTCTTGAATAGAGAAAGCAAGCCAGTAGTTAGTCAAGAATTTTCATTAGATTCAGTACAACTTTTTCTGCCCATTGATTATTGATTAAGCAACTTGTTTAAATAATAAAAAAATTGACGATGGGTTCATTGGACTAACAACAGATTATCTGACGTGTTTTTGGATTATAGATCAATGTTAGGTAACTTCAAAGTCTTTCCTCTTCTACAAACATGTGAAGAGCCTTCTATCATTATACTGGTAACTGGAAACCAAAACATTTGAGTAATAAACGGATATTTCAAATCAGAGAATGAAGAAAATACTAATCAAACCAAGGTTTTGTGAGAATATTTTGAGACAGTACGATGATAGATTCCAATAGAATCTGTTTTTAGGTATGAGTCGCTTAGAATAAATAAACAGACATATTATTTGATAAAACGTTACTGACTATTACATTATTCAGTCATGTGGAAACAAGAGATGGAGATAATATTCTGAGCCAACAAAACAACACTTGCATATTAAAAGGGCCATCAGTAACAAGAGCCATGCATCAAAGGGGCATTTGAGTTTTTGGATTCTTAGATGATGATGGAGTTGCTTCCTGTGGCTCCATCTTTGAGAGGAAATTGGAGAGACCATTGGTTAATGCAGAATTTGTGATCAAGGAAGCTCTCAGCAAATTAACGGCCTGAAACAAAGGTAGATTCAAAAGAAGAACCACAAGTATGAGTAACTCAAGAAAAAAAATATTAAAAAAAAGAGTAAAAGGATACCTCTGCTTTTGTGATGTTGATAACTTGTTCATCAATATCACTGATGTTCAACTGCAACTTGCTTAACAATGAGATTGTTGATGATGTGCTCATCGGTGTGATAAAGAGATCATCTGACACTATGAAACTAGTTTCTCCCTTTACAAATCCAACCCCAACATAACTTGGTGGGTTTGAATGCATTGGTGCGAACTTCACAATCCTTTCACCTTTAGAAAGCACATCTTTCTTAATCTTTCTGGAAAACATGCAATCTGAACTTGCACCACTTGTTGGGATCAAACATTCAAGTCCTGAATCTCCTTCCTGAATGGCAATATCAAGCAGTTGTGCCCTGAAATTATAATGGTAAGGAAGCATACATTTGGAATCTGTGACTTCTTTTGGCTTCTCATAGCTCAAATCTTTCAAACTTCTGCAAATATTTCCAACACAGCCCATATTGACATTGTCAACAGAAAGTTCACAAGCAAACTCAAGAGGTATGGCAAGAAAAGTGAATAGAAGATCAATGAAGTCTTCTCTGCACTCCGCAAAAAGAATCGTCATGTCTGTCTTTCTAATGTAAACCTTAATAGTTACACATTTGTCAGGATCTCCTGACACAACAATTTCTTGCACCAGTGGTGTCAACACTTTGCGCTTCCTTGCCATGCAATGTTTCTTCAGAAATGTATCTGTTAAAGGAACTTGCGAAGTGAACAAACAACCTAGCAATGTTAGCACCTGCATTTAAACAATATATAAGCATGCTTAAAGAAAAATAGTAAAAAGTTGAACAAAAAATATCTAGAAAGGTATAAAAGTGTTACAAAACAAAGTATTAACATTAGAATTAATAGAATTAAAGTATTTCTCAAAAAAAAATTAATAGAATTAAAGTACCTCTTCAGAACCAACATCAATAAGCATTTCTTGCAGCTTATCAAAACCAGCATAGCCAAGATCATTAAGGACATTCAGGACAAGACCCATCGAATTCAGTGACACTTTCAGATCATCAGTGATGATGAATGACGTTCTGCAACTAGGGAGGACACCATCAGCTAGCTCTCCCTGAACCTGAATCTCACAGCTCATCGCCCTTCCACAATAACAACAACGTGAGGCACTAGTGTTGCTGTATACCTTACAGCAAGACTCATTGGACATAAAATAAGGGCAGATAAAGAACCCGGTGGCCACGGTATCATCTATGTTCAGCTTTAGCTTTCTGGAAAGACTCTCCTTGACACTCCGTGGATACAGCAACAGATTCTTACAAGCCTGTGCCTCAAAGTTATCATCGCTCATGTCTGAAACACTTTTGTAAAGCTTGTGGAAACAACCAACAACAGGAGATTGAGGAGTTTGATGCTTCTCCAGCAACCTGACAATGGTACCCATAGGAAGTGTAAGAAGACTACATAAGACATCAACAAAATCTTTCCCAGCTTCAGCCAAAACAACTCTGTTTTTCTCCTCATCAATGAGAAGTCTCAGACTAAACTTGGGTTTCGCAGCAGAGTTTGCCATCAGGAAAAAGAGAAAGTTTGAAATTAGAAGAGGTCTAAAAGAGGAAAGTAGACCGAAAGTGTATTAGGTATCAAGTTTTGAATGTGACAGAACAATTGTGTTTACCCATCTATATATTCAAAAGGTTTTCAGATAATATAATAATCAATTACCATGAAGAGTCACTGCATAACCCTAGAAACCTCTGCGTATTCCCATGAAAGTATGAATGTGAATACATGTCCCAAGGCCAAGTGTGTATATTTCCCAAAAAAGTCAAGTGTCGTTACAGATTCTATAAGTTAACTCCCCGAGAAAATATGTCTTGTTTTGAAGAGTTGTCATTGATAAATAAGTCTTGTCTAGCGAAAAGTTCAATGTATCACCTCATGCATAATCATGAGCCGACTAACTAGTGATCCTTTTCCGTTTCTAATTAGGTTTGAACAAAACCAAACTAAATTAGTGAAATCATCTATAATTAGTTTAACATATTCAGTAAAAAAAAAATTGTCTAATTAGTTTGATTTTATATAACCACAAAAAGTCCAAAATGATATTTTCAAAATGAAGTTTTTATGTGTGTGCAATGTAGATATCATTAAAATTTAAAATAAAATATTAGGTGTTACAATTGCAAAAACAAAACGCTTAACTTAAAAGATATTCCATGAAAATAAATAAGGAAGCAAATAGAATTGGTATTCTATCGACATCTCAATTTGAAAATATTGGCATAGATTATAAGTTATAACTATACCACACTTGAAAACACGAGGCAGAAATAGTTATACACGAGGTAGAAATTATTGTTACTTGATACAAAACTTGTTATATTAAAATTGCAAATCTGAGAATGAAGAAAATACTAATCAGACTAAATGTTTGTGAGAACATTTTGCAACAGAATTTTTCACCAAAAAAAACAATTATGGGACAGAAGAATTATAGATTTCAAACGAATATGTTTTTAGCTATAGTCTAAATAATAAAACAGACTTGATATTGGATAAAAAAAGTTACTGACTATTACATTAATCAGTCATGTGAAAAGGAAAGATGGAGATAATATTCTAAGCCAAAAACAACACTAGCAGATTAAAATGGCCATCAGTAACAAGAGCCATGTTTCAAATTTTTTTTTCAGATTTTGGAATCTTAGAAGTTGATGGAGTTGCTTCGTGTGGCTTCATCTTCGAGAGGAAGCTGGAGAGACCATTGTTTAATGCAGATGTTGTGATCAAGGAAGCTCTCAGCAAACTAACGGCCTGCAAGAAAAGTATGACACTATGAAATTCCTTTCTCCCTTCACAAATCCAACCCCACCATAACTTGATGTGTTCGAATGCATAGGAGAGAACTTCACAATCCTTCCACCCTTTGAAAGCAATTTCTTACTAATCTTTCTGGAAAATATGCATTCTGAACGTAAACCACTGGCGGGTATTAAACATTCATATTTGGAACTTCCTTCCTGGACAACAATATCAAGAAGTTGTGCCCTGAAATTATAATGAGAAGGAAGCACACATTTGGAGAATGTGGCTTCTTTCGTCTTCTCAAAGCTCAGATCTTTCACACTTCTGCAAAGATTTCCAACACAGCCCATATTGACTTTGTCAATAGAAAGTTCCCAAGCAAACTCAAGCGGTATGGCAAGAAAAGTGAATAAAAATTCAACAAAGTCTTCTCTGCACTCAGCATAAAGAATCCTCATGTCTGTCTTTCTAACATAAAGTTTAATGGTTATAAACTCATCTTCATCTTCAGTAACGCAGTTTTCTTGAACCAATGGTGTCAAAGCTTTACGTTTCCTTGTCGTTCAATGTTGCTTCAGGAATGTCTCTGTCAAAGGCAGTTTCGAAGTGAATAAACAACCTAGTAAAGTAAGAATCTGCATATAAAAAAATAAACAAGTGATAAGAAGGCTTATATAGAAATATGTAATTAATGAAAATCCAAGTACCTCATCAGAACCAACATCAACTATCATTTCTTGCAGCTTATCAAAACCAGAGTAGCCAAGATCGTTGAGAAGATTCAGGACAAGACCCATCGAATTCAATGACACTTTGAGATCATCAGTGATGATAAATGACGTTATGCAAGTAGGGAACACTGAATCAGCCTGCTCTTCTTCAGGAACGTGAAACTCGTGGCTCATCGATATTCCACAACTACACCACGGGATAGAGATACTACCATCGCTGTATACCTTGCAGCAGGACGGATTGGACATAAAACCCGGGCAGATATAGAACCTGGTTGCTTTTGTATCATCTATGTTCAGCTTTAGCTTTCGGCAATGACTTTCCTTGATACAACGTGGATACAACAACAGATTCTTACAAGCCTGTGCCTCAAAGTGATCAACGCTCATGTCTGAAACACTTTTGTAAAGGTTGTGAAAACAGCCAACAATAGGAGATTGAAGGGTTTGATGTTTTTCCAGTAACCTAACAATGGTACCCATAGGAAGTGTAAGAAGACTACACAGTACATCAACAAAATCTTTCCCAGCTTCAGCTAACACAACTCTGTTTTTCTCCTCATCAATGAGAAGTTTCAGACTAAACTTAGGTTCCGGAACAGATTTAGCCATCACAAGAAAAGTGAAAGTTGGAAGAGAAATAAAAGGTGAAATTAGACCGATAGTACGATATTTTGGATCAAGTTTCGAATGTGACAGGATCATAGGGTTACACCTCTATATATACCACCCAACCGTAGAAACCTTTGGCTGTTCCCATGAAAGTATGAATGTGAATACATGTCCCAAGCCCAAGTATGTATATTTTCCAAAAAAAAAGTCAAGTGTCGTAACAGATTCTAATTAACTCTCCCAAGAAAATGTATCTTATTTTGAAGAGTTGTGATTGGTAGAATTAAATTAATAAGTCGTGTCTAGGAAAAAGTTCAATTAATCACCTCTTGAATAATCATTACCCGACTGAACTAAACCAAATTATAAAGTACCAATAGAAAATATAAATACTCGAATAATTCCAATGATTAGCGAAATTTTTTAATTGTTTGATTCTACAGAACCACAAAAACTCCGAATAATTTTTTTCAGTTTAAAGTTTTTTTGTGTGTGCAATGTAGATATCATTAAAACTTAAATATTAGGGCAGATTGCGTAAACAAAACTTGAAAACATAAGGTCGACAAAATAAAATCACAAGAAAACCGGAAGGGAGCAGCTATGTGGCGGACCAAAGAGAAGTAAAACTATAGTAGAATTTTTATAAATTAATATTTGAAAATTAATAATTTTTATAAATTAATAAATTTTGATTAGGGTTGGACAAAAAAACCGAATTCGAAAATCCGAACCGAATTGATCCGATAAAAATGAATCCGAACCGATTCGAACCCAACTTAAATACCGAATGAATCTTGTTTTATGATATTTTGGGTTATAGATATTATCAGACCGAACCCAAAATTAAATGGATATTCGATAGAACCCGAAACATTCAAAATCTTTAATAAGAATGTGTACCAAACATGATCTTAATTCCTAATACATATCTAAAATATTTTAAGATATTACTAAATATCTAAAATAAGTATATGCTACATGAAGGTTGATGGTTGAAGTGACGGTTGAAATTTCAATTTTTTAGATTAATGTTTTGTTTTATTAAATAAGGTTTCTCATTTTTTAAGAACTCGGTTTTCGTTTTATGCTTTCATTTATTTGGTTTTCTTTCTATTAATAACTATGTTTATCTTTCATTTGATTTTGAATGATCACGTTTGATGTTTCTTTCTTATTTTTGAATCAATTTTACTTATGTTTTGGTTACAAAATAGTTACACATCAGGTACTTTAAATCCGAAGAACTAGTTTTAATTATATTTTGGTTACAAAGTAGATACAAATCAAGTATATTTAAACCAAAGAACCGATTGAGACCATAATCCGAAAGTATAAAGGGTTATACTGGTTCTTTAAAGATTTACTAACCCCGACCCGAATCCGAACCGATCCCGAACCGAACTTTCAAATAATTTGAATGGGGCTGGTTTTGATAAACCCGAAGAACCGAGATCCGATTGGACAAAACCGAAACCGGATTGGGACCTCGAATGTCCATACCTAATTTCTGCAATCTTAATTTGTGCCGGTTCAAAATTTGACACAAATCGATAAAATAATAAGATAATAATTTTTCAGAAAATTCTATGTAAATATATGATCCCATAAATTATAAATTAATAAATTATGTGTATACTTATTTTATATAAGTAAGAATCTATATTATATTGTTTGTTTTATATTCATAATACAATTATCTTTATATATTCTTAACACTTAATATATTTTGCTGACATTTAATAATTTTATATCTAAAATCACATTTACATTCTTTTTAATATGTATTATATACACCCAAAATATAATAAAATTACTATAAATGTCAATTTTCAAAAAATAATAGTTAATGTTTATATACTAAAATCAAATATTTTTCTTATCTTAGAAGAAAAAATCTAAATTAGAAAAATTTCATAAATTAATACCTCTATAAATTAATAAATATTTAAAAGTTGTAATATTATTAATTTATAGACGTTTTGTTCAGTGGTAAGATATTGGGCTTGCCCTGACATCTTTATTACCCTTTTGGGCTTCTCACTTAAAAAAACAAATAAAGCCTCTCTCCTTGATACCGTTCAATTCGATCGACCTTGCTGCTAACGGAACCCTACATTGCATTGCTCCGGGATGTCGAACGGCACGGATCAGTCGCAACCACCGTCTGACAAGACTGATCTCCCGGTGGAATCGAGGCTGAAGAAGCGTGCTTCTCCGGGGGATAACTGGGCGCCTCCTCCAGGTTGGACAACCGAAGAAAAAGTCCGAACCTCCGGTACCAAAGCTGGTATGGTCGATAAGGTGAATAATCTCCACTCCTTGATCGCAATTTGCAGATTATCCTCCTCAATTTAAATTTTGTTTGTTGCTTAGTGCTTAGAATTGGAATTGAAAACTAATTAAGATTCGTTACATTGTTTAATCAAAGCATAAAATTAGTGAATCATGTCCTAAATGGATGTTAATTTGATGATAATGCAAATGCTTTTAATTTCCAATTTTTTTTTTTTAATTTTGGGTAAATGTAGTTCTACTACGAACCTGTTACGAATCGTAAGTTCCGGTCAAGGACCGAAGTGATGTACTATTTGGAACACGGAACTCCTAAAAAGAAAAACAAGAAAGCGGTTAACGACAACAGTGACACCAAACCACAAGTGAGTTCAGTTCAGAGTTTTTTTTTTTTTTTTCTCTTTATGAGACTTTCATCGTTTGTGTCTTTATATATTACCTAACTTTTTTTTTGCAGCGTTTGGAAGAACGAGGAAGCCTTAAGCGGTTGACCCAATCCAACAAAAAGGCTGATGAGCAGCCACCCCCGCCCCCACCGCCAAAGCCGTTGGATTTTGATTTTATGAATGTCCCGGAGAAGGTCGTTTGGACAGGAACAAAAGGCTTAGAAGAGGTTTGGTGTCCTTTCATTGGGGACTACAAGATTCAAGAATCTGTCAGCCAAGATTGGGACAGAGCCTTCAGTCTTGTCACTTCAAATGGAAATATGTCGGTTTAGAAGATTGGTGAAGCAAATTCATCATCAAATGTAATAAATTGCACTAGAGTTTTATATTTCTGCGTAGTATTAACTGATCTTCGCTTGGATTTTCCATTCATTTGTCTAAAGCATGCAATGGAGGTTAATTTAATACTCATGTGATTGTTTAGTTACCCTTTAATTTCGGTTGTAATCTAAGTATTTTCGTTAGGCAATAAATATGCTAGATGAAATTGTTGAACGTTCTATACTTCTATATATAGCCTTTTGAGAGAACCCCTGAGTAACTAGTCGGTTATGAGAGCTAAGTTTGATGCATGGTGTTGGCCCAGGCTTGTTACTTTTCTTCTCAGTTATTTCTGCTTTGAATGTGAACTGGAGGAGGATACTGATGTATGCAAAGATATAAAGATGCTGACATAAATCTATAACTATTTGGAAAGCTACATAGAAGTTTCGTTGAAAGAAGAATCAAAAGCGTCTGTAGTCCAACGGTTAGGATAATTGCCTTCCAAGCAATAGACCCGGGTTCGACTCCCGGCAGACGCATTTTTTTGACTGTTAGCAAATTTTGTGTTTCAAAGTTATCCCAAAGGAATCAATCAAAATCAAAACTTTAAAAAAAAGTTTTTTGGATACTTGCAAATGCAGACAGTATCAAAGCGTTGCTTGATTGGCTCTGCATTGCGTTGTACTGCCTCCCCAGATTTTGGTAGAAAACAAAGTTAATTTGGTTACTTATATAAGATTGTGCGTATGTCCCTCTATATTAATGTGTTCAAACAATTGAACTTTGTGAAGTGGATCTGTTTCACGGTTGGGTATGAAGTTTAAACATCTTATTAATATGTGGTTATGTCACAAATTTTACATTCAAGAGATTCAGAGAAATGATTCATACGGAGTTGGAGAAACCAGGTAGAGAAAGAGTGGCGGTTTTAGAAGTGTGCTAGGAAGATAAATGGTTTTCGTTTTAGAATAGAGTTCTTTAATCGAGTAAATGAAGTAGTATTGGCCGTACCAAAGCCTATTTAGTCTTAGTAGAATTTAAAAAACCCAAACTACCAGTAAAACTGGCCCGAACCAAATTAACTGAAGTCAATATCCTTTGAAGTTTTTTCTTATGTTTCAGAATATGATTTGTCGAATACAAATTATTTGCAGTATTTACTTCAAAATGATCAAAATCGAACACTGACAAGCAATCTTTCGATTGGTTTCAGATGTTTTAAATTTATAATCTGCAAAATTTTGTCGTTTTATATTGGACCATTTCTCTAAATAGCAACAGAAATAAGTTTTCATCCCAAAACTAACATTTGAGGATAAAAAAATACAATTTATAAAAGAGTATAAATTATATTTATTCCTTTATTTTGTTAAATATATATTTCATATATTAAAATAATTAAATAGTAAAAATATATAAAAAATCAAAAACTGGTTTTTTTAACTGTTTCACCCTGGTTTGGTCGTGCTACCTTAATGGGTGACCGTGTTTCTCTTTTAGGTATAGCCTTCTGCTGGATTGCGTTTTTAATATCTTTTTATTGAAAATCTTTTGATTGTTTTAATGGTGCGTTCTAAATGAGTTGAATGTGTTCTCCAAATGTTGGTTGAGCTCGAGTGTTTAGAATTGACCTCCATTAAGCTAAATTCGGCTTGTATGTGTCCTTGGTTTTCATCTAAATTAAAGTTCTCTCTCTGTGATTCCTGACTCCATATTTTTAGTCGATGATGATTTGCTGTCTTCATCAACAACTAAATCCAATCTAAACGTTTAATATATATCCAAAAGGCGACCCTATCTCCAGTTTGATAAAGATCCACTGGTATATAATTAATACGGGTCCTGGCTTAGTGCCTTATTGCTAAGCGCATACCATACAATCACTATAAAACATTACATTAGTCGTCCGTAGGATTCATTTTTTAAATTCACGAATTTATGTGTCCTTTAATAGATGATCCACTTTTGAGGTACTTTTAAATCATATGATTCATAACTATACATGAGTACATGAAATACAAAAATAAAAGTATTTCGAAGAGGGGATGAATGTAGACAACAAGTCTCCATCTTCAAAACATAATAATTTTGTTATTTTATTAAACTAAAATATTCTTCTCTTGACCTTTGACTGTTCAAGAATTCATAAATTTTATTTTAATACTAAGAGAGGAGAAAAGTAAGTTTGTTGAGCCAAATAGTAGGTTAGGTTTGGCATCCACGTTCACGTGAAATCTATCTCTGTCCAATCCTTGATCCGTAAATTTTATCTTATCTATCTTTCCATATTCTATTATGCAATAACAACACGAAATATGATCTCATTCTGTTGGTAAAATAAAACAAAAATCATATAAAACCAAACTAAATCTTTGTATTCACACTGCACTTGGTCTCTCGAGTAGTAAAAAGGTTCTCCATGTCGGTCATGTAATACTTTTCTTCTTCTACAAGTACTTGTTTTACTATATATTTCCAGTGAAAAGGCAAGACAAGCTTCATGTACGAATCACACTCATGAATATGATAATGTATTTATAACAGAGTTATTTTCATACAAAGGTAGTTTTGAGTTTTTTTTTACAGATTGGGTCAATTTCTGCTACTAAAACAGTTATTTGGTGAAAAAAACTTAACTTGACCTTCAAAAAGCGTAACTGAACACATTTATTTAGTTAAGAATTATTTTTATCTATTTTGTTTTATTATTGAAATTCAAAAGGTTTTGGTTGATCCGAAAGAAAATTAACCAACTTTCTTTACTTTACTTTCTGGGTTTTTTAGGGTGAAATATATAAGTGGAAGAAGGGCTGCGATGGTGATTTCCGGCGAAAGAGAATTACAGTGAAGGTTTCTGAATTTTTTGTGGGTTTTTTATATGTTTTTACTTGATTTTAGATTATAATCTGTTAATCTATATAATATTAATAAGTTCCAGAGATAAAACGCAAAAATAATGAAGATTGTATGATAAAAATTAATGGTGGATGTGTGCTATATTTACAGAAAACGCAGAAAATCTTATTAGGAAGAAGATGAACTTATTACCAAATTACCATTTATTAAAAAAAAATTAATTGGATGACCACGTGGATGTGTACATAATGTTAGTGTACACATGTTCGTGTACACGGGTACATTAGATGACCACATAGATGTGTACGTAATGTTAATGCACACATGTACATGTTAAAGAGATAAATTTGGCTTTATAGATATAAGGACAAAAAAGTAGTTTACGTGAGCTAAACAACATGATTATATTTCTACATGTGTACATGATTACATGGTAAACCTAAGTTTTTAGCAAAAATTTGTGCCTAATATTTAGTTTGCATTTTCCAATAATCCCAATGATATAGTATACAAATATTATCAATTTGAATGCTAAGAATGAAAAATATACATAGAAAATAAGTTTTATGTTATTCAACATACGTTCACTTTTTATCACTTTTTATTAATTTTGTAGGTTAGTCTCTGTTGATAATAAATTGTGTGTACACTTTAATAATTTTTACATATTTATGTGTTCTAATATATGTGCTACATAGATGTGTACATGTTTCTTTCACATACATGAGTATGTTTAACGTGGTCGTCTAACTAAACAGAATGTGACTAGTTAATGCGTACATGTGGACATGTTTTAGGAGTGTACATGTGTATGCCTGAATTTCAATCAAGAAAAAAAATGTATAATGTGTGGTGAAAATGTGATAAGTGAATTTATGGTTGTACATTATTCAAATATGAACATGTTAAAGCTTGTTTCGTGGATTATAATGAATGTGCACAAACTACCATATAGAAGTGAATTAAGCCGGATGTAAAAATTAATATGTACATGTATATATATCATCAGCCTCATAAGAGAGGTCATCGTAGAGCAGGGGTATGTCAAATTCTTCATCGCTAATGTCAAATAATGACATAATTTCTCGTGTAAATGGGATAGCAGGAGTAGGTTGGTGAGAAAAATTGTGAGTTTGTGTCGGAGTTCGCGGAGACTGGGCGGTTCTTTGTGCACGTTTTGACCATGATCATATGTGCACACATGAAAAGGGCATGGATGGATTTTCTCTAGATGTGCGCGTGTACGTGGTGTTGGTTTGTACAATTGGATATTCTTTTTGGTGTACACCGAGGAAGGTTAAAATGTATTAATACCACCAAAGATTAAGATGTGATTTCTAAAGTGTAATTGATTGATGTATTTGTACTACAAAAGATTAAAATGTAATTTCTAAAATTTGTGATAAAATTAAGAATCAATTTTTACATTTAAAAAATATTAGGATTACAAAATAAATAATAAATAAATTTAGGGCCAAATATGCAAAATATCCAAATTAGCTATTGTTTCTCTCAAACTTATCTTTTCAGTTTTAAAGCGTGTAAAATAAAAAATAAGCTTAACTTGAGGACCAGATGTGATCCCAAGCTCGACTCTTCATTTTGCGGTTAGGAGAAGAGGAGACGTTTCGATGGCGTCAAAAGTTTAAATCACGACGATGACATAGAAAAATTGCGGTGGAGAAGGAAGAATCTTGGCAAAAAGAGTAGAGATATGACAGAGAAAGAAGTATTGCAGCAGCGGAAAAAAATCTGACCCAATGACTTCTAACAACAGACCATGATAGTGTAGGCGGGACGGCGCACATGCTTTGGATACGGCGGAAAGTCTGCGATGATGTAAGAAATAAACTTTGATAATTTCAGATTTTTGTAATATGTATTTAGTTTTAGATGTTTAGTTTCGAGAAAAAAGAAAAATAACTAATATTCAGAATCTGTGGATCCTTTTAATTTAGTTTGCGACTTAAATTAACAGAAACTATCTCAGTAATTATAACTGTCTTATATTATTAATAAAAATTTGAAATTGTACTGCAATGTAATATTTTCTTTATAATACTCCTTGCAAAGTTAACTGACGGAATCAAGACCAGGTCTAAAAATTTAAAAACCATAAATAATTCTAAAAACCTTTTTACTTTCTGTTTATATCTTGTTGAGTTAAAACCTCTGTAAAAATATCAAAAAATATTTGAAATCAAAGCAAAATATGCCAAAATATTAATTAAAAGTTTAAACCTAAAATCAGTTAATAATAAATATATTGATTTATCTTTTTATATATTATTTTAAATTTTTAAATTTTCTATGTTGAAACTTTATTTTTAATATATTACTGATATAATGGTCATTTGAACTGTTATTTCAAACTATTTGGATAAAAATAAATAAAGTAATTTTAAATTGATTAATGTGGATCGAGACTATTTACATTAATTCTAAAATTATCGGGATTGGTTTCACTCTTTTATATTATTAAAGTTTTTTTCCAATTTCAGAATTTATCACTAATGAAAATTATCTGACATTATGTTGGTGATATTATAGTTAGTTTTATCTCTACTAATAAGAAATCAAATTTGCTACATAAACCAAACCGGTTCTGTTATAATGCACTATTAATCATTTGTACGCCTTTTTGACCTGGAAAGTGACCAAATAGAAGACAGCAGCAAGAAAACAATGTAGCTGTTGACCACACAGGACCCACAACATTAGATAAATCTTTGAACATCTATCATTTAATCTTTTGTGGCGGCTCAGTGTTTATCTCAACCCCACACAAACTCTCTCTGTTTCCTCGAAACTTCATTTATCTTCCTCGCCAAGACAAAACAAATAAACAATCCCTTGTATAAATAATTGTCTCTCATCTTGTTGCGTTCACATGAAACTACCTTTTCTTCTGTTCGTTGACTTACCTTCTTTCTCTCCTCTTCAATCTTGATGGATGCTATTCTCCAAACACCCGTTGATGGGTTCAGATTCGACAACGGTCCTTCTGGATCTTGCTGCAAACCAAGGAACAATCTCGAATCCGGCTTCACCTGTTTCAAAGAATCTGAGTCTCAGAGCCTTTCTTCTCCCACCGAAAGATCTACGTTATGTTCAGATAACTATCCTGTTTTGAAGTATATCAATGACATGTTGATGGAGGAAGATCTTGAAGAACAGTCTTGTATGTTGCAAGACAGTTTGGCTCTCAAAGCCGCAGAGAGATCTTTCCTCGAAGCCCTTCAGGAGGATCAACCAACCTCTGGATCGCCTGAGGAATCATCAACAAGAAGGTACCGTCACCGAGATGATGATGAAGAAGATAATCGCAAATCAAAGCTCCCAGCAATCTCCGTGGTGAATGAGCTTGCGGAGAAGTTGGAGGAAGTGTTGTTGGTATGTCAAAAAAACAATCAAGGAGAAGCAACACCAAACAAACCAGGACGAGCAAAGGGATCACTGAACCGATCTAAACCGGAACAGCCCGTAGATATGAGGAGTCTCCTGATGCAATGCGCACAAGCAGTGGCTAGCTTTGACCAGAGCAGAGCCTTCGAGAAACTCAAGGAGATAAGGGAACATTCATCAAGCCACGGCGACGCGACTCAGAGGCTTGGCTACCATTTAGCGGAGGCGCTTGAAGCACGTATCACCGGAACCATGAAGAAGACTACGCCAGTAGAGACCGACGTTTTAAGCAAAACACCAATGGTTGATATTTTGAAGGCCTACAAGGAGTTTGTTCTGACTTGCCCTACTTTGATAATGTGTTACAACACATCAAACAGAACTATATTCGAGCTTGCGTCCAAAGCAACAACCACACTTCACATCATTGATTTTGGGGTTCTCTATGGCTTCCAGTGGCCTTGTTTGATCCAAGCCCTGTCGACCAGACAGGGCGGACCACCAAAGCTCCGTGTGACCGGAATCGAGCTGCCTCAGACTGGATTCCGGCCATCGGAGCGGGTTGAGGAGACAGGTCGGAGACTCAAACGGTTCTGCGACAAGTTCAACGTCCCGTTTGAGTACAGCTTCATAACCAAAAACTGGGACACCATAACTCTTGACGAGCTGGTGATCAATAGCGGAGAGACAACAGTTGTCAACTGCATCCTCAGGCTACAATACACTCCCGATGAGACCGTGTCCCTGAACTCTCCGAGAGACACGGTTCTGAAACTGTTCAGAGACATCAACCCTGACCTCTTTGTGTTTGCCGAGATCAACGGGACGTACAACTCTCCCTTCTTTCTAACGAGGTTTAGAGAAGCTATGTTCCATTGCTCGGCGCTCTTTGACATGTTTGAGAGCACCATATCGGAAGAGAAAGATTGTAGGTCCTTGTTGGAGACGGAGTTAATTGTAAAGGACGCGATGAGTGTGATCGCCTGTGAAGGTGCTGAGCGGTTCGCGAGGCCAGAGACTTACAAGCAATGGCAGGTTAGGTTACTGAGAGCCGGGTTTAGACCGGCGAAACTAAAGAAACATATCCTGAAGGAAGGGAAGGAGTTAGCAAGAGAACGTTACCATAAAGATTTTGTGGTTGACAATGATAACCACTGGATGTTACAGGGCTGGAAAGGAAAAGTTCTCTATGCTCTTTCTTTCTGGAAACCTGCTAAGAAGCAATAAACTATTTTATTAGCTTTCTTTTTATTTTTGTTGTTTAATAATTAATGTTTTGTATAAACTGTTGGATTTTTCTCTCATCTGTTTATATGGAATGCTTTTGTTCTTTCTTGCAAGTTCATATGGCAACCAAGAATCCAAGTTCATATGGTAGTTCACAATTTTTGGTTTCTATATTTTGGAATATGATTTGTCGAATACAAATTATTTGCAGTATTTAGTTCAAAATGATCAAAATTGAACACTTAGAAGCAATCTTTCGATCGGTTTCAGATTTTAGATTTATAAGCTTCAAATATACAGTTTTTGGTTTTTATTCATTTTTCAAATTTTTGTCGTTTTTTTGTCGTTTTATATTGAACCATTTTTCTGAAGAAATAAAATAAGTTTAGTTCCATCCCAAAATTGGCATTTGAGGATCAAAATCATTAGATAACAATTTATGAAAGAATAAAAAATTATATATGTATTCATTTATTATTTAAATATTCAAAAATATATTTTAAAAATCTCAAAAACTGGATTTGTTAACTGTTTCACCGTGGTTTGATCCTTCTACTTCAATGGGTGACCGTCTGTCTCTTTTAGGTATAACCGTCTGTGGATTGTATTCTTAATGTCTTTTTTATGGAAGATCTTTTGATTTTTTTTATTGGTTTGTTCTAAATGAGTTGAATGTGTTCTCTAGATGTTGGTTGAACTCGAATGTTTAGCATTGACCTCCATTAAGCTAAATTCGGCTTGTATGTCTCCTTGGTTTGTTCTCCTCTCTGTGATTCCTGACTCCATATTTTTAGTCGATGATGATTTTGCTGTCTTCATCAACAACTAAATCCAATCTAAAACGTTCAATATATATCCAAAAGGCGACCCTATTTCCAGTTTGATAAAGATCCACTGGTATATACTATATTACAACAGGTCCTGGCTTAGTGCTTATTGCTTAGCGCATATCATACAATCCCTCTAAAACATTACATTAGTCGTGCGTAGGATTCATTTTTAGATTTGGAGAAACTTTCACGGATTTATGTGGGCCAACTAAAAGAAAGAAATATTAAGATATATCCTTTTAATAGATGATCCACATTTAAGGTACTTTTAAATCATATGATTCATACCTACACATGAGTACATGAAATACAAAAATAAAAGTATTTCGAAGAGGGGATGAATGTAGACAACAAGTCTCCATCTTCAAAACATAATAATTTTGTATTATATTAAACTAAAATATTCTTCTCTTGACCTTTGACTGTTCAAGAATTCCTAAATTTTATTTGAATACTAAGAGAAGAGAAAGTAAGTTTGTTGAGCCAAAATAAACAAATGGTAGGTTAGGTTTGGCATCCACGTTCACGTGAAATCTATCTTTGTCCAATCGTTGATCATCTTATCTATCTTTCGGTATTCTATTATGATCTCATTCCGTTGGTGAAATAAAATAAAAATAATTTGTGTTCACACTGCAGTTGGTCTCGAGTAGTAAAAAGGTTCACTCTCCATGTCGGTCATGTGATACTTTTCTTCTTCTTCAAGCAGTGCCGGCAAAGTAAAAAGAGGGCCGTTTGAGATTTGAACTCTTTACACTGTATATGGCAATCAGTATCACTACACTATAAAAGAATTGCTGTTTATTATATGTTGGTATAATACATATAATTTTTCGGGATCACTACTATATTCAAGTACTTGTTTTACTATTACCAATGAAAAGACAAGACTAGCTCCATGTACGAACCACACTCATGAATATGACAATGTATTTATAATACCCCTTACAAAGTTAATTGAGGGAACAGTATCGGATCTAAAATCCATATATATTTTTTAAGAATCTTTCTAATTTATGTTCATATTTTGTTGAGTTAAACTTAAACATATGGTAGAAAATAATCAAAATATTGGAATCAAAGCCAAATAAACCATAAATGTTAACTAAAAGTTTTAACCTAAAATCAATTAATGATAGATAGATTGATTTAGTTAATTTTGCATATTATTTTAGATTTTTTCAATTTTTTGATGTGAAATTTTATTTTTAATATGTTACTGAGATAATGGTCATTTAAACATTAATTTTGGAATGTTTGAATAAAAATGAAAATTTAATTTTAACTGGATCACTATCGAATTAGATTGTATACTTTCAACTCTAAATTAAAATAGCCATAAATAAACTGGTTTAATATATTACTACGTGCGGATTTTCTTTTTATTTATAATTTATAAAAATAATTATCAATAAATAATAATATATTTATTTATATAATCTCGAAAAATATTAAAGTGATAGATGTTAAAATATAATTTTTAAACACAACATGAAAATATAAATTATTATTAACATATAACTTTAAATGTATAAAATATAACATTAAATGTAAATCATACATTTATTTTTTATAATAAATTTTTATATTTTTAAAATAAAAAATCTGTGTGGGTCAAACTTTAGTATATAGTTTTCTTCTTATATTTTAGGAATATATAATGCTATCTAGATAAAATTTTATTTATTAAACAAAAAAAAAATATTTCAAATAAAAGATAAATATATGTGGTGATATTATAGTTAAATTATGTAAAATTTGATAATTGTTTTAAAGAATGGTCCAAATAATCAAAGTACACATGAAATAACTCATGAATTATTTTAATAGTATAGATAGATAAATGTATAATATTTTTTATATATTTGAAATAAAATTTCAGTATTTGTTTTTAACATAATCTATTTAAATTTTGTAAATAATTATTTTCCAAATTTCAACAATTTATATTATTATTTTCATTAAAATATAATTAAAAATGTTTAGATAATTATACATTCATTCATAAATAAGATATACTTTTTAATGAAATTTTATAGTAATTATAATTTAAAAAATATTCTAATTTTTTTTTGATTTATTTCATTTGTATTTAAAATCGAAAGATATGGATATTCAAAGATATTATTATTAAATTATGTAATATTTGATAGTTTTGATAATTTTTTTAAGGAATAGTTCATTTAAAAAAAATCATACATGAAGCAAATGATTTATGTTTTAATATATAAAGATTTAAGATTTTCCAATTTCCAGAATTTATTATTAATCAAATGATCTGACATTATGTCGGTGATATTATATTTAGTTTTATCATAATAAACCAATTTTGCTACATAAACCAAACCGGTTCTGTGATTATGCACAACTAATTAATCATTTATATAACCAAGCTTTTTTGACCAGTAAAGTGACCAAATAGAAGACAGCAGCAAGAAGACAATATAGCTGGTGATCACACTGGACCCACAACATTAGATAAAGTCTTTGAACATCTATCACTTTAACCTTTTGTGGCGGCTCAGTGTTTATCTCAACCCCCACACAAATCTCTCCCTGTTTCCTCGAAACTTCATTTATCTTCTTGGCCAAGACAAAACAAATAAACAATCCTTTCGTATAAATAATGGTCTCTCAACTTGTTGTGTTCACATGAAACTCCCTTTCTTCTATAACTATTCGTTGACTTAACCTCTTTCTCTCTCCTCCTTTTCAATCTTGATGGATGCTATTCTCCAAGTACCCGTTGATGGGTTCAGATTCGACAACGGTTCTGGATCTTGTTGCAAACCAAGGAACAATTTAGACTCCGGAGGAACCAACCGCTTCACCTGTTTCAAAGAATCTGAATCTCAGAGCCTTTCTTCTCCAACCGAATCTACAGAGTCTCAGAACCTTTCTTCCCCGACCGAATCTACCGAATCTCAGAACCTTTCTTCACCCACCGAAACATCTACGGTATGTTCAGATAACTATCCTGTTTTGAAGTATATCAATGACATGTTGATGGAGGAAGATCTTGAAGAACAGTCTTGTATGTTGCAAGACAGTTTGGCTTTACAAGCCGCAGAGAGATCTTTCCTCGAAGTTCTTCATGAGGATCATCAACCAACCTCATGTCTCACTGGATCGCCTGAGATCTCAGAAGAATCATCAACAAGAAGATACCATCAACGAGATGATGAAGAAGAAGATAATCGCAAGTCAAAGCTCCCTGCTATCTCCGTGGTAGATGAGCTTGCAGAAAAGCTGGAGGAAGTGTTGTTGGTGTGTCAAAAAACCGATCAAGAAAAAGCAACACCAAACAAAACAGTACGAGCAAAGGGATCAGCACTAAACCGATCCAAACCGGAGCAGCCTGTAGATATGAGGAATCTACTAATGCAATGCGCACAAGCAGTAGCTAGCTTTGACCAGAGCAGAGCCTTTGAGAAACTCAAGGAGATAAGAGAACACTCATCTAGCCACGGCGACGCAACTCAAAGACTTGGTTACCATTTCGCGGAGGCGCTTGAAGCGCGTCTCACCGGAACCACGAAGACGCCAGTATCATCTGATGTTCTGAGCAAAACACCAATGGTTGATATTTTGAATGCTTACAAGGAGTTCGTTCAGGCTTGCCCTACTTTAATAATGTGTTACTACACAGCAAACAGAACTATATTCGAGCTTGCGTCCAAAGCAACAATCACGCTTCACATCATTGATTTTGGCATCCTCTATGGATTCCAATGGCCTTGTTTGATCCAAGCCCTGTCGACACGACAGGGGGGACCACCAAAGCTCCGTGTGACCGGAATCGAGCTGCCTCAGCCTGGATTCCGGCCATCAGAGCGGGTCGAAGAGACCGGGAGGAGACTGAAACGGTTCTGCGACAAGTTCAACGTCCCGTTTGAGTACAGCTTCATAGCTAAAAACTGGGACACTATAACTCTTGATGAGTTGGTGATCAATAGTGGAGAGACAACAGTTGTTAACTGCATCCTCAGGCTACAATACACTCCTGATGAAACCGTGTCCCTAAACTCTCCGAGGGACACGGCTTTAAAACTGTTCAGAGACATCAATCCTGACCTCTTTGTGTTTGCAGAGATCAACGGGACGTATAACTCTCCCTTCTTTCTAACTAGGTTTAGAGAAGCTATGTTCCATTGCTCGGCGCTCTTTGACATGTTTGAGAGCAACATATCAGAAGAGAATCATTGTAGGAGCTTGGTGGAGAGGGAGTTAATCATAAAGGATGCGATGAGTGTGATCGCATGTGAAGGAGCTGAGCGGTTCGCGAGGCCGGAGACTTACAAGCAATGGCAGGTTAGGATAGTAAGAGCCGGGTTTAGACCAGCGAAGCTGAACAAGCAGATCATGAAGGAAGGGAAGGAGTTAGTGAGGGAGCGTTACCATAAAGAGTTTGTGGTGGATAATGATAACCATTGGATGTTACAGGGCTGGAAAGGAAAAGTTATGTATGCTCTTTCCTGCTGGAAACCTTCTAAGAAGCAATAAAACTATTTTTGTAATCATTTTACTTGGTTTTGTTAGCTTTGTTTGTCTTCTGTTTGGTAATGTTTTGTAGAAACTGTTGGGTTTTGCTCTCATATATTTATATGGAATGCGTTTGTTCTTTCTTGCAAGTTCATATTGAAACCAACTGATTTGAAATGGAATAGAAAAAGAGTGGAGGAATTGCTACCTGAACTGGTGGATCAAGTTCTGTGTGTGAAGTCTAGTCTGATGGGTGAAGAAGATGCTTTCATTTGGACAACAGTCTGGCATATTTAAGCCCACACGAAAGGCCCATATTGAGATCCAATAGGAAGTCTATGAACCATGTTTCCACAAAGTCTGGATACAATTCGGCTATGGCTCTGACTTCCATCTCAAGCAACCTAACAACAATTGATCAAAAAAAAAAAGCAACCTAACAGCACAAAGCGATTTCAATTGGTTCAAGGACGTCTGGTCTAGCAATTTCTCACCAAAATTAAAAGTGACTAATGGTCAAGTATCCAAAAAAGCTTTTACCAATAGGGGAGAACCTTAGAAGGAAGAACATAGCAACGGATGTCACTTGTCATTGTCAATCCACCTCTCAGAAAATTACAAGTGTGGTTTTAATCAGAAAATGACATGGTATTTTTAATTTAAAAATGAGTGATTTAGTGAATTACTCATATTTGAAGCTTAAATTAGCAAAATACCATTGATTGGACATGAAAGACACTGACACAACCATTTGGCAAGGAAATGCCGAGAATGTCCTTTCTCTTTCCTCTCATTAACACGAAGCGTAAAAACATTTGTTAACATATAACACTTCTGTTAACGTCTACAATATTTGTTAACAGCCAACACATTTATTACCGCGAAGCGTAAAAATAATTGTTAACAGTTAACACTTCTGTTAACATCTACAATATTTGTTAACAGCGAACACATTTATTAACGCGAAGCGTAAAAATAATTGTTAACAACTAACACTTATGTTAACGTCTACAATATTTGTTAACCGCTAACACGACGTCGAATCTAAAACCCAGAAAATTGATATCATCAAAAAATTGAGGATTCAAAGCCACTTATGAAAAAAATAATGAAATTTAAAATTTAATTGTATATAGAATGATAGAGATTTGTAAAATAATTAGGGATTGGAGAGAAAAAAAGGTCAAAAATGAGGATTCAAAGCCACTTCTGAAAAAATAATGAAATTTAATTGTATATAGAATGATAGAGATTTGTAAAATAATTAGGGATTGAAGAGAAAAAAAAGAGGAGAGATGTCAAATAGATGAGACAGAGTGTAGAGAAGAGCAAAATGGTCCAAAGGAAAGTGATTGTCACATCATTGGCAATTCTCTAATTATAGGTGTCAAATAGGGAAAATTGTCATTTAAATCACAAACTTTCAAATTTGGTTGAAATAAAGCACCAACTTTCTCATAAGCCAAAAAAATACTCAAATTTTATTAAGAAGCCATTTTAATCACAAACTTTCGTCGACCATACCAATTTAGGCATATCGTTAGTCAACAGTTATAGTTGACTAACAGTAGGCCTAAAATGGCTTTCAAAGTTGATGTTTTTTTTGGCACAAATATAAATCAATATTTTTTTTACAATATTGGATATATTTTTAATATTGAAAATATTTTTATAACAGAAGAACTAATAAATAAAACTATAAATAAAAATTCTAGAAAAAATAAAAATAAAACTCAATGTAAAATAATTAGTTAACATACATTAATTGAGTATCTTAGTTATAAAATGATAAGAATATTTTAATTATTTACGATTAATTTTTGTAAATATTTATATAATCCTATTTGAATTATGTTTTATAATTTTTTTTCAAAAGTTTGTTGATAAAATATTAATTCAACTCGTGTTTCTTAAATGAAAAAATTGTCGATTAACGAATTATTCATGATTCTTTAAGTTTATAATAAAGATCTTCAAACAAATCTATATATTTCTATAAAATTTTTACAAGAGGTTTTCTGCATCTAAAAAAAAATAAGTTTCACCAAAATAGATAACTTTTTTTGTTATCCGGTAACTCATTTTGTTTAAAAAATCAAGAATTGAAATAATATTTTACTAACAAATTTTTGACAGTAAAATTATAAAACATAATCCGTGTAGGATGATACAAATATTTTTTAAAAATTAATCGTAAATAATTTAAAAATCATAATCATTTTTAACTAAAATACCCAATTAAGGATATGTTAATTAATAATTTTACATTGACTTATTTTTATGTTTTTGAATGGAATTTTTTTTTTATTTACAATTTTATTTATTAGTGTTATAGTTATTAAAATTTTCAATATTTAAAAGCTAAAATATTGAAAAATTGTTGATTTATATTTGTGCCAAAAAAAACACCAACTTTAAAAGCCATTTTAGGCCTACCGTTAGTCAACTATAACTTTTGACTAACGATATGCCTAAATTGGTATGGTCGACGAAAGTTTGTGATTAAAATGGCTTGTCAATAAAAATTGAGTGTTTTTTGGCTTATGAGAAAGTTGGTGTTTTATTTCAACCAAATTTGAAAGTTGGTGATTTAAATGACAATTTTCCCGTGCCAAATATGGCACTTTAGCCAATTATCTCTTTAAAAATCATGTTTTGTATGTTTCTTAAGAGGCTTAACTTTGTGCGGCTAAAAGAAGACATCAAACTTTCGGTGGAGCTAATAGTTTTCTTGTCTAATATTTATGTAAATGAACAAGTGATAGGTCTACTAAGATATATGTGAATAGAGAAAACTGAGAAGTTTTCATCGGTTACGGCTTGTAAGAATTAATATGTTCACATGTGAATGTAAAATTGGTCCAAATTGTTCCTCTTGAATAATCTCTTGGTCTTTGTCTTTGGTCCCAAAATCTATTGTCTTTATATTATATCTTAGATCCAGCAAAATATAATGTTAGGTGACCATATATTAGCCACATTTTTCATATACATCTTTCGTGTCCCCCCTCCCTCCCCTATTCAGCACGTTCTTATCTCATCTTGCCGATATTGAATGATACTAATAGGATCAGTACTGATCTGTAAAAAAATAGAGAGAACATTAAGAATATAAAAATTCCCATATACTTGGGTTCATATTTAATGGTAATTTAGTATACGAGGTACAAATAATACCTATATTTGAAAGAATGGTCGGAGTTATAATTTTTGAAAAGAGGCAGAATTATACTAACGTTTCATACAAATTAGCTACTAATTTTAATAAAAAAGAAACTACTACTGTACATGTATGGAATACATGGAAGCTCTTTTAAAACTATTTAATAATAACATACTGGTCGTACATCGATTAGGTGGATTAAAAAGCTGCAAAATTTACTATTGGTTTGAATTTTAATGGAATCTTCACATGTATGTTAGTTACATTCTCATAACTAACCGACAGATTGGTGGAACATGATCAAGACTCGAATGCATGTACTGACAGTGAAGTAACATTGATAGATGTGGTCAAAGTTATACGCTTGTTGACTGCCAAAGTTTATAGTACTATAGTTTTCTTTTGTTGTTGGAATCTTCTTAGCAGACTTAATGATATATGGATACCATCTTTATGCAAAACCTGGTTCATTTTCTCATGATTTATACTACTATATATCGTCTATGCAACAACATTTGTGGAGCCTCCATGCAAAGGAAGTAATGTAGACCCGCTATATATATATAATCGACTTAAACTCATTTTCTCATCTCTCATCTTTCATCTCTCTCTCAGTCTCTCTTTCCCCGCACACACACAATATATACATAAACACTTTCAGATCAAACAAAGGAAGCAGATAGTTGACTCATGGACGTGGAAAAGCTATGGAACCTTACGAAGGAAGATTCCATCTTGCAAACCATGCACTTCGCAAGAAGCATTTCAACTAAAACTACTCCTTCGAAATCCCTCTTCAAGAGAAGTTTCTCAAATAAAACCTTCTCTTCTCCTTCTCCGGAGTCCCATTTCGCAAGGAGCTTCTCAACAAAAGCTTTGTCTTCTTCTTGTTCTTCGGATCCCACTTTCAGACGGAGTTTCTCCCCCAAACCTAACGCTTCCAAGTCTCTGCTTGATCTTTCTAGAAACAGTTCTAGGAAATGCTCAGCTGATTTATCTTCCAAGTCATCACTCTCTAGGAGCTTGTCTCAGAAAGGAGCTTCGGTGACCCGAAAATGGTGTAGAGTAGCAAAGGAGCACAAGTCCCGATTATACATCATCAAACGCTGCGTTTTGATGCTCGTTTGCTGGCACAAGCATTCCTGAGATCCATTGCATTGGATCCGAATTAGAAGGAAAAAGTAGTTATTACATTTGGTTCTGAATCTTCATTAATCTTATTATTATGCTTTAATGACACTGTTTTATAGAACCATTCTAAGTTTAAAGTTCCATGTTCTATTGCAACAGATCTTCCAAGTGATCCAGTATTTAGAAGAAATTCATGCAATTTATTAAATGTGGATATAAATGAGTAACATTGAGTTGATAATGAACATCCACAGTTAGCTTTGTCAAACGTCCCAAATAAATGCTCGAAAGAATATTCTAAGAGATGAAGGAAGTGTTAGTCTTCTCCTTTGCTTCTTTAGTCAAGCTTATCTCTCTGCCAAAAAATTTGTGTTTCTAAAAAATCTCTGTTTCATGGCCAAAGAAGAGTCACAGCCATTGTAAAACTGTTTTTTTAGGTGAATACATTTTAACCTTCTTTCAAAAGAAAAAAAAGACCTTCAAACACAAAAAAAAATGTAGCAATTAAAAGGCCAATTTAACATACGATCACCAGTGTTCGCCTGAGGGCAATTTAACATATGATTACCAATTGAATCGAGCAAGTCTGTATTTTCTATACACAAAAAGCCTTTACAACTAATTTGGTTATGTAGAAGAAGGAAGATTTTATATGAGAAATTTGCTGTTGATGACGAATAAGACGGGAGATTACAGCATATATATCGGGTTATGAGTTTAGGTACTAGCACGCTTAAAATGTTCACGAATAAATCTCTCGGCATGAGAAGGGTACCTATCTCGAACATAGGCTCGAAGACACTTCTGGTATGAGAAATCTATCCATCCCCCATCCCTTCTCACAACAAAGAGGCACCTCGAATGCCTGAACTGTGGATGCCTATCAACCTTCCATTAACAAGTTCAAGTTACACACAATGAAAAAGTGAGTCATCTATCCATCATTGTGGTTCAATAATTGATCCCAAGGTCTCAAAACATATCAGGGTTTTTGAATCCACGTACCATTATAAAATCAATACCACAGCCAATTTTGTCTTTGGAGTAGGGGTGATAAGCCAGAAGCTTTTCCACAATAATTTTCTCATCCTCAAAGTCTAATCGTTCTCCATCCAAATATCTGTTTATCAAGAAGAAAAAACAGATCACTTGGACCGCAAAAACAATACTTGACTGAAAAACAGTTCTGTTTGATATTTTTTTAGAGTTGACTTAAGTTTAGATACAGAAGCATCTATCACATATTGGAGACACGATAGTTCTGCGTATAAAACACAATCAAAACTCCAAAAAGCATCCAATGTCTCTGTATAAAGAAAGACTTTGGCTTCTCAACATATCAGTTTGGTTCCACGTACTTAAAAACTACCAGCAACCAACCAAAAACTAAACCAAAGATTGAACTTGTAATTTCAATACATTTTAAAGATTTAATCTATCAAGTTTGTGCAGCTGCTCTAACCTAATTCTTGACCAATCCTACAAAACTGAAGACGTTCATCTCTAATCGGGAAATGAATGTTTTTTACCTATCCGAATGAAGAATATCTTTGGCGAGAAGAAATATAGGTTCGATATCTCCAACTATCTCTGCCTCTATATTCTTCCACTTCCGATAATCAGGATCCTCATACCGCCAGCTTTCATCAATACGCGGCGTCGAGTTCATCGCCGCTACTGCTGGAGAATCATCCTCGATAAACTGTGGTTTATCAGCAAGAGAGCAACATAGACGCCGACGGTCTGCGATGCTGACTTGATGACGGTGGTTGAGAAAACCGTTGCGGAGGAGAGGAAGTGTTCTGAAGAGTAGTAGCGAGGTCATTGAGCTCATAAACTACAACAAGAATCGATCTCCCTTTCTCGACGGTTAAACCCTAACCAGTACAGTCAATCAAAGAAGAAGATAAGCCGAAAGGGACATTTCCTCAGACTTTTTTATTAACTTAACATTCTGAAGACTATAGGTATCGAACCCGAGATGCTGTGGAAACAAACAGGAGTCGCAGAACCATTTAATTTGTGACGTAGTTTGTACTCTGCGCCGTTAGATTGATCTTTAGACGCTTCTATAAATATCTAAAAACCATGATCCAACGGCTCAGATATAATATCACGTGTCAGACACTGTACGTAACTCATCACCGAATCTTTCTCCTCTTTTCCCTCTCCAGCTAGCCGAACCCACCGCCAATTCCCTCTCTCTCTCTCTCTCTCTCTCTCTCTCTCTCTCTCTCTCTCTCTCTCTTGGGCCCCACAAATGCAACTTGGTAAAAAGTCAGTAAATTACCAAAAAACCCCCACATAGTTAGCTTACTTGGACCTTTTTATCCACGTTGCTCCATCCTACGTGCCTAATTTAGTCATTTCTGTATCTAATCAGTAATCACCTGCGTCGCGAACTACTGTTACAAAACCTGCTCTCGTGATGTGTTCGGTCGGAGATATTTAGAAGATCAAAAATATCTAGCTAACTCGTCCACGTTGACATTCAGACATAATAACCCCATCTGGAATTAGATATTGTACTTTCCTCTTAATCTTTTTGCTTTTCCCCTTTTCTTTCCACTAAAAAAACATATTTATTTTCTCTCCTTTCGAAAATTCCTCAGACCAAACTTCTCCACAAACTTTCAATCTTGCGAGATCTCATCGCTTTGGAGGAGCTCTTAGATTCCAATTTGTATCTGAATTTTGTAGAAATTAAATAGGAGAAGAAGTGAGGATGAACGGTTACGATGGTGTTACGGAATGGGAGATGGGGCTACCTAGCGACGACGATTTAGCTTCCCTTTCTTACTCTCTTATCCCTCCGAATCTCGCCATGGCTTTCAGCATCACACCGGAGAAAAGCCGCACCATCCACGATGTTAATCACGCATCGGAGACGACTCTCTCCTCCCTCCGCGGCGGATCTTCCGGTCCAAACACGGCGGAGGTGGAGGAGGAGGAGGAGGAGGAAGATCGAGTAGGATCGAGCAGTCCCGGATCAGATTCCAAGAAACAAAAGACATCAGATGAAGTAGTGGTCGAGGAAGGAGACTCAGGAACCGAAGATCTTACCGGGAAGACACAGAAACGGCAGCGTTTAGTGTGGACGCCGCAGCTGCATAAGAGATTCGTGGACGTGGTGGCTCACTTAGGGATCAAAAACGCAGTTCCCAAGACGATCATGCAGCTCATGAACGTGGAAGGGTTGACTCGTGAGAACGTAGCGTCTCACCTTCAGAAGTATAGACTCTACCTCAAAAGGATGCAAGGGTTGACGACGGAAGAAGGTCCTTCTCCTTCGGATAAGCTCTTCTCATCGACGCCTGTGCCTCCACAGAGCTTCGGTAACGGTTACCAAGGTGGTTCGATGATGCAGATGCCAGTCTATGCGCATCATATGGGTATGCAAGGGTATCATCATCAGAGTCGGGGTCATGATCCTTATCATCAGAACCGTAATCATAATCATGGAAGTGGTGGTGGTGGAGCTGTGAATGGGTATATGATGCAGCAGAATAAGTTTGGATCCATGGCGTCGTATCCTCCTGTTGGAGGTGGGAGTGCTAATGAGAATTAAAATGAATATGAATAGGTGAGCTTTTTTTTTGCTGATCATGTTTCTGTCTTTTTAAGTACAGTTAATATTCTTACACGATTTGATTGAGACTAATCAAGTTTCTGTCGTTGCTATAAATGGTATACAATAAATTTTTGGTCTTTTTTCTAATCACTTGTTCTCTGCATTTTAAGTTTGACATTATTAACATCCACTAATATAATTCAGAATCAGAGTCTGTTCATCTTTGGGAAGTATAAGTTGTTTTTAAAGCCATATGTTTGTGTAACACAAGTTCTAGTTTGATTATAGATATAGTAACCATAGTGATAGTTTCGCGTTCTTTCAGATGCTTTTGGTAAATTAAACCATTCCTGAGTGTAAATAATTTGTAATTGCAAAAGAGTTGGTCAGCGAAATTTATGTCTTCAGGTAGTTTGGTCAGGTTTAGCTATACACCTTTCGGGAATACTCCTGCATCTTTACAGGCCTTGATCATTCTTGATTATTGTTACAGGTTTTTTTAATACGAGTTTTCTAAGCCTATCGTCATCACTGCATCTACATAGGAGTCTCTAGACCAAAGAGTATTCTTGGAGAACAATGCATACTTGAAGACCTTCTAACTAGTTTCATGTACTGATTTCTATATTGTAATGTGAGGTAAAAGTCTCTTTCCTTTCTTACAAAGATAATCAGGAGAGCTGCTGTCGTAATTCTCAGCATTCTTAACTGTTTATTTCTATTTGGAATGGCGTCAGACACAGTCTTAATGTTTATCCACTTTCGATATATAAACGAGTTCGACTATAATTTTCTAAATCATTAACCTTTAATTGGATTAGAGAGCCAAATACCAATTAACTTCGAACAAAAGGTAGAAAGTGACATTACAACAAAAGCAGGTCCCTGTTTTCTTTACTGGCTAACATATTCTATTGGTTTTAGCTACGTATGGTTCTACTTTGAGATTTGAATAATAATATTAAGACCTTTTCGTCTCCAATAGATGATCATACACTTTTATTAAAGACACATTAATAATCTTCAGCAATATACTATTCTTTGCGCATCACACATTCAGTGACAACCTTATCCTCGCATCACTTTAGTGTCCCCGGTTTGATTTTATGGTTGAAAAGTAAGATTCTTCTAGAATAGAAAAGTATATAATAATAGTACAAGTCATTCATCCACTGCTTTCTTCAGCATTAAGACTTTTTAAAGCTTCTGTTTCACTGGCAAGATATGGTGGAGAAGCATAATAATAGTACAAGTTAGTTTTTAATACATCTCTTGCTCTCTTCCTAAAGTTACAAATCACAGGGTTTTGCTTTCGTTTGTTCAACCATTCAAAACATCTCTTGTTCTCTTCAAGTAGACTTGTAGGTGCTGAGGCCACCTTGTGAAGAGGTGGCAGCCACAACAGAGATGAGTTCTCTTGACAGCTTGTCGTATTTGTTATAACAGAGAAAGCTGTCCGTTTATCAACTGTATTCCTATAGCAGCTCCATTATGCTTTCTAATGATGGCCAACGTGAAACCGGAAAGGCTTTGTATCCCAGGGGATGAAACTCTGTCACTGGCTGGTTTTGTTCTTCTTTGCGTTTAAGGTCAAGAACCATGCGGTTACAGATTATAGACACTAGTGAAAACAGAAACAGAGGAGTTATAGAATACAGAGCGGCAAGCCAAGGTACTCTTGGTACTGAAAATAACGTTGGGGTTATGGTTTTAAAAACCAGACCAGTGATTTCCTGAAAAAAACGAATCCGGTTCGGTTTAGTTCAAAACCCAAATTTGAGAAAAATCGTTAAAACAAGCAAAAAACTGATAAAATCGATGATCCGGATCTACTTTAAAATCCAGTTTTAAAATAATTAACATGTATTTTAATTGTTATTAAAATTTAATATCTCATAATCACCATTTGACCATTAGTAGTTAATTGATTTTCTATTTAACTTCTTTTAAGAAAGAATGTACATAAATATATACTTTGGATTTCATATATTATTCTTATTTTGACATATTTATAAAATAGAAGACTTTAGTTATAAAAATAAATAAATAAAGTAATTTGAATGATTAATTATTTGATTTTTATCAGTTTCAAATTTACATAGTATTCACTTGTTTATCGTATATATAGTTACATTTATTTTTATTATTTACTTTTCAAGTTATTTACTTTTTTTTTTAAATCTATATAATGTAAATCTATACTATTATATAAGAAGTAAATTTGCTTAGTTGTCAACTTCTCCTTGATTTTAGGTAAATTTATTTATTTATTTTATTTAAATAATTTTATATAAAATTTATTATTTAATAAAAACGAATTTATATTAATAATATTATATTTTAGAAAATATGTTAATTATTTTGTATTAAATTGTTATCTAAAAAATATATTTTTCTATTATAAAATTCAAGTCAATTTTACTAATTGATTTGTAATTTCTCCATAACTTTTGTAATTTTTCTTATTTGTTATATTTTTAATAATTTTATGAATAATTTATCATATAATAAAACAAATTTCTATTAATAATATTCTACTTTTAGAAAATAAGATAATTCTTATGTATTGTATTGTTATCTTTAAAATATTTTTTTATCCTAGAAATTAAAAATTAAGTTAAAATATTAATAGTTAAATATAAAGAAAGCAATGCTGATATCAACTTCTGCATGGTTTTATATTTTGCTTATTTCTCATATTTTAATAATTTCATATATAATTTGTTAAATAATAAAACGAATGTATACTAATAATACTAGATTTTAAAAAATAATATAATTCTTAAGTATTAGATTGTTATCTTGAACATATATTTTCTATTATAAACTTTAAGTGAATTATCTGATTTGTAATTTCTCCATGATTTAGATAATTTTGATTATTTTCCGTATTTTTAATAATTTCATTTAAAATTTATTATAAAATAAAAATGAATTTCTATTAAAAATTATATTTTGAGAAAATAAGATACTTCTTATGTATTATATTTTTTATCTTGAAAATACATTTTTATTATAGAAATAAAATATTAAGATAGAAAAATTATAATTAAAATAAATTAAAGCAACACATTTGTAAAAATATATATTTAAAAATATTTTGTTGTGTGAGTGTTGTCATTTATAATTAATTTTACAACATAAATCATAACTTATTATATTGGTTTGAATTAATAAAATATAGATTAATAATAAATTGTACGAAAATTATGCCCGCATAGGCGGGTAAAACACCTAGTATATAATTATATATATATATATTTTAAATAGAAAATCCAGTTTGATTGGTTGAACCGGTCCAACGAGTCAACTACTAGCTATACCGAGTCCATATCTGCTTTTCCAAACATTGGGGGAGGTTAAACTCTTTGGCTGCAGCTTCAGCAAAGTACATGAATGCGATCTCATTACTTTGTTGTCGCAACAACTGAGCCAAACAGTTCTTGAAGAACACCTGACATTCTTTGTTGAGCTTATGCAGAAACCGTATTGACCCAAGACTCTAGAACTGAAAATCAGTCGTTGAAATAATTTAACTTGGTCTGAGAAACAGTGATTGAGAAATCCTTCAAGTGGAGGGTTTTGGCAAGTTGCATCATTGGACATATATATGTCCTTGAGCTATAACTGGAACCAACACTAGCCTTTTCCTCCATATTTTCATGCAAGAACAACTAAAAAGTAATATCATCTATAAGTTTTAATGAAAGAAGTATCTTTCCCACATAACTATCATATTTTCAAACGGTTACAATCTCTTTATCTTGTTAGAGTAACCACAGACGAAAGCAAAGTTGCTTCCTACTTCTTGGTTTTTTATTGGCGTGGATATGTTATATTAGAGATAATGACAAAGACATGTTGACCGATTATGTGGTTGTATATACTTTGGCATGACCATTCTAACAAGTACTTTCGATACCTAAATCTATATTTTTCTTGTCTTGTTTGGCTTCATGTAAAAAAAAATTATTTAATGCAAAAATTTCATATTAGGCTAACTGCCAAAAGAGACTCATATTTTATTTGAATTTCTTTTATTGGGATTGAAAAAAGAAAAAAGTACTTCACATATTTTGTAGGGAGATGAAGCTTCATATAATTTTTTTTATCAATCTGTAATATTAAATGAGGTGCAGCTTCTCAGTCTGTCTCCAAGTACTTGATGAGCTCATCCAATGCATTGTATGAGGAGCCTCCATCTCTAACAGAGGCTTTAACCTTTTCTTTCAGAACAAGTGCTCTCTCCCTCATGCATGCACCTTCTTCATCCACAATCAACCTTTTCACAGCTCTCTCAACCTGTCCTCTTTCAACTTCACCCTCAAGCTGTATTCCTACACTCCAGACGCTTTCTATATACGCTGCATTTAATTTCTGCTCGTCCTGAAAAGGCCTGCAAATCATTGGGACTCCTTCCGCAATGCTCTCGAGCGTTGAGTTCCATCCACAATGGCTCCAGAAGCCTCCCACTGAAGGATGCGCAAGTACTTCTATCTGTGGTGCCCATTTCACAATGTATCCTCTTTCCGACACCATCTTACTCAGTTCATCTGGAAATGAGTTAACGATGGAGCCGCTTCGAATGACCCATAAGAATGGTTGGTTGCTATTTGACAACCCCCACGCCATCTCCAAAACTTCCTTAGTTTCCATGTGATAAAAACTTCCCATGCTTATGTATATGACTGACCTCGGTTTCTGCTTGTTCAGCCATTCGATGCAGCTCCTGTCTTCCTTCAGTAAACTGGAAGGTGCTGAAGCTGAAATGTGAACAGGGCCTAAGGGGTACACTGGAATTTTGAGTTCTTGTTGCAGCCATGACAGAGACGAGTTCTCTAGACAGCTCGAGGTGTTTACTATAAAAGCGGAAGCTGTTCTTTTGTTGACTATTTCCCTACGCAGCTCCATGACCGGCTCTAATGGCCCTAATCCTGTAGGCAGTAGGTGTTTGTATCTTAATGGATACAAGTTTTCCACCACCTTTTCTTTCAACTCTGGATCTGCAAATTAAAAAGAAACCAATGTTTATTGAACATATTGGTTTGAGAAGTTTTACCAAAAAAAATAATATTGGTTTGATAAAAGAGCCATTAAGCTAAGTTTAGGGATGTGTTCAAAAAAAAAAAGAAAAAAAAGCTAAATTAAGGGCACCTTCTATGTCGGAGGAAAACTTTTCCAGATTGAGTTTGCTAAATATGTAGCATGAAACATAATCTATAGCACTTGTAGTGGTGAAGATGGCACAAGGGATCTTAAATTCTCTAGCCGCAGCTTCGCAGGAGTACATAAACTCGTCATAGATGATACATGCTATATCATTACCATGTTGCATCAACAACTGAGCTATACAATCCTTGAAGCTTGCCTCGTTGGTATTGTTGTACTTTAACAGAAACTTCATCGGCCCGAGTCGCTCAAATTCAGATCCAGGTAAGCTTTCTGGTAGGGTGACAAATTGAAACTCAGGGAAGTCTTGGGAAGGATTTACTTGATTGAACTGTCCCTGAGCAACGGTTATTGAGAAGCCCTTCAAGCTAAGGGATTTCCCAAGTTGCATAAAGGGAGTTACATGTCCTTGTCCTGGAATTGGAGCTAACACTATCCTTCTCTTTGCTTGACTTTTCTCCATTTGCTCTTTCTCTCTCTCTACGCGTTGAAGAACTGCTCTACATAAACGATACATTATAATAATTAAAATCTTATTTGTATTAAAGTACTCCACAATCTTCCAAATG